CCAGGCTCCAACAGCTACACATGCCTGGAGCTGCCTGACTTCCAGTCTCTTGGGACACTTGGATGTCCCAGGGGCATCAAAACAGGTAACCACTGTGTGGAGAAGGCGTGGGGTGTGCCCAAGGCAAGCAGAGCAAATAGGACACAGGAGGAAGAGTTGAAAAAGGAAGCATTGTGGAAGGTTAAGGAGACCTACCCAGATAAAACAAACAAACAAAACTTCACAAAACATTTTCATTACACCTGTGGAAAAATAAAATAAAAAATAAAAAAAAGGAGAAGCTAGGACTGGCCAGTAGGAACTACTGGGAAATAGATGTATTTGTGTATAAGGAATCCAGTCAGTCAGAAATCCCTGTCCCTAAGCTCCAACAAGGACAGACATCATTCCCTCTTGCTGTCTTGGGACTGAGAAGAACTCCTTAGCTTGCTGGTAGCCAGGACTACACGGGGACACTTCCAAACAAGGCTGCTTGCACTGAGAAGCACACAGGTTTACACTGAAATGTACTTGGCTTTGGACCATTTCCTTTTAATATCCTTAAGGAGAAGTGCTGTAAACACAGGGCCAAGGCCCTGGACACTTAGCAGGGTTGGGAGAGCTGTTAATACCAAGTTTGTCTATGGGCTGCTCTGGGAAGCTGGCCAGGCTCAGGTTAGTGACATTCCACGAGCCTGAATTGGGAATCTTCAGGCAAGCACAATCCTCCCAGACTTCTAGGGCAGTTTTCTGTGCACGAAGAATGCATGACAGCGCAGGGCAAAGGCATCACTCCAGCGCGGCGCCTGAGCCCCTTCTGGGTCGGCAGCACCGCTTGTTAGCAGACAGCGCCTTCAATGGACATCCAGCAAGGAAACAGGGCAGACTGGCCACAGAAAGACCTCAAATGGGAAATCAGGCTTCTAAAGATTCTATTGTTTTGTTTTGCTTTTTCTCCATAAACAAAAACAAAGGGAGACGTCTATGTTAGGTACAGACAGGTTTAAGCATAAAAGGACAAAGGCCCTTTGACACTCTGAAAGACATGCAGCTTTGCTTCCGGGGGATCTTGAGGACTAGAAGTGACCACAGTCTAGGTCAGAAAGTCCTGGGTGGGTGAGAGCAGGAGCCGGGTGGGGTGGGGACAGATTGTATCTCCCTCCCTGAGTTCCTAGTAGGCCTCTTTCCTTTCCCCTGCAGGGGGCAGCAGAAGCCTGGACAGTCCTCAGCCTTGTCATAGGTCTCACAGCTTTGCCACGGTGGCTTTCTCCATGTGAAAGGGACAGCAGCACGATGGCAGAAAAGATGAGAAAATGTGCTTGCTTGGTCCAGTCAGGCTGCCCTGCTCCGCCTAGGCCACACACAGCATTTGCAGGTACAAGCTGGAACAAATCCTAGGTCTCCAGGCGCTGGCCACACCAGCTTATTTTCCAGCCTTCCCTTCATCTGCCACCAAGGGAGCAAAGACTCTGACAACAGCAGGTTTCAACGCTTAGAATAATTTTTCCAAACAGATACTCATCTCTGATTTGCTTGGGCCATGGGAGCAAGGGTTTGTTTGCTTCGTAGAGCTGTTCTGGGGTTCACATTGCTACTGAACAACTGGCATGGCATGTCCTTCTACCCCCCCCCACCCCCCCGGGCTGCTCTGCCAGTATCCTCACTCACAATGTCCTTACCTGTGGCTTCAGTAGCTAAATTTCCCACCAAATTACCAGTAATATTATCAAGGTGACAGGTGTCCTCTGATTGGCAGGTGCTGAATCTAGAGGGGCCATCAGGGAGCAGCCCTCAGGCTCATCTGGCCTTTGTCCTTTTAGTGTAGAGGAGAGGGAGGGAGGGAGGGAGAGAGAGAGAAAGGAGAAGAGAGAGGAGAGAGGAAAGAGAGAGAGGCAGAGACAGAGAGGACCCTCTCTAGGCTGACAGAACATTGTGGTAGGAAGAACTAGAGTGGCGTGTCTTTGCAACACTGGAGGTCACATCTTGTCTCTACCACATTAAAGGTATTAACAAAACCTGCACACAACTGTCACTGTTGTTGTAGCTGTCATTGTTCTATCCTGAGACACCTGCTACCCGTGCTCCTGAAGTCAGCTAGTCTCCAGCTGCGGCCCCTGCTCTTCTGCCAATGCAGCTTCTGCCCCTCAGCTCTGACTGGGACATAAGCTCTTCGGGTGCTGGTCAAGAAATGTTCTGTGCAGCCACAGGGTTACAGGGCTGAGGGCGGAGCTAAGGCCTTCTACAGGCCTCTGCATCCTGGCCCTTCCACACACTTGTCGTGAGGCTGTCCTCACTCATCCAGGGTCTCATGTCTACTCCAAACTCTACACTCTTGCACAGGGATAGGGAAAAAAAGGGGGCAAATGTAGAGCCACTCCTTATATATAAAACAAATACTAAGGAGTGTCTGGAGATGCCTCTCTGCACTGAGACCTTGATCACACTCAATGGCTTAGAAAAATCACATTTCCTATTGCCTTATAATCTTCATCCAAAACTGGAGCTAAGTAAAGTGAGGCCAGTGTGTCCTATGCAGGCATGAGTCATCTAGTACTCACATTATCTGTATCACACAGGTATTATTATCACTTCCACTCTGTATGAGAGGCAAGCCGAGCTGTATTTATCCTAGAAAACTATATATATATATATATATATATATATATATATATATATATATATATATATGCATGCACACACACACACACACCTCAAATTGGACTGTCACTGATTCTATGTAGGGCAAAGCAGACTGGTCTAACTTCGAAACAAAACCATCCCTGTGTATAATTTCTGCTGGCCATTGTTGAGTTCATATAGTCAACAAGGAAGTCCACTCTGTACTGAGTGGGGCTCAGAACCAGAACAGCCTCCAGGCAAAAAGACTGTTTTTAGCCTTTGCCTCTTCCATCTGTTTGGGTATTCTTTTAGAAGAGACTGCTTTCTTCCTCTGCCCATTTTAAAGGCTCAGAACTTTTCAGTTGTCTTAACCCAAGACCCACCAAGACACATGTCATCTAAAGGCTTTGGTGGCTCAGTTTCCCATCAAATTACCACTACTGTTACCAAGGTGATAGGTGTTTCAAGTGTCCTCTGATTGTCAGGTGCTGAATCTGAGAGGAGCCTATTAAGGAGCAGTCCTTGTGCCTGTCTGTCATTTTGCTGTAGAGCAATGATGAGAGAGACAGAAAAAAGCAGATGTCTCAGGGAATAATGGCATCTCTGGCAGCAGTGACAGTTGTATGTTGGTTCTGGTACTCTCACAAACTGCCGCAAATGCCTTTAACGGTCTGACCTCCACTCCACAGCCAGTCTTTCCTACCACCCGACAAACACCTACACTCCCCACAAGCTATAAGATCTGCACCCATGGTATCTGTAACCCGAGTACTCAGGAGGCTGAGGCAGGAGGACTGCCCTGAGTGAGCTTGAAGCCGGTTTGGGCCACAAAGTAAAACTTTCTCTCAAAAAAAAAAAAAAAAAATATATATATATATATATATGTGTGTGTGTGTGTGTGTGTGTGTAAGTGCTACGGAACCACAAATATAAAAGTGGTTAAAATTTATTATATGTGTCTGTGCATCACCATAATAAAGGTTGAAAAGAGATTTTAAAAACAAACAGAATAAAATAAGCTGTGGACCCCCAAATCCCCATGTTGTGCAAGGATGAGGAAAAGCATGAGCCATGGCAACTTTATAATCGCATGTTTACCCTGGATCAAAGCTGTTCTCACACTGGTTTTGTCCTTAAACATATTTGAATTAGTTACCATCAGCCAACAACTGGAGATTTCACATGAAGATCTACATTTCTTCTTCTCTGCAATATGCACTGCCTGCCATGGGGAGCCATGGTGCTAGAGTAAACTAGCTGGATACAGGCTGGCTCACCGCTTTGTATTGTCTCTTATTCTGTTAGCAGCCATGGTTATCAGCCATTTACTTAAGTTTCTCTAAACTACCTGATACACACATACTGCCTAGACATTTGGATTGTGTTGGACAGCGGGGTTCCTATAGACGCTTAGATGGGCGTGACTCTCAAATAATTTTCAATGTTTGATTAAGAATGGTGGAAGTTTCTTTCTCTCATTTAAAGGGTGTAAGACAACAAAAAGCTGCTGAAGACCTTGGCTCTTTGATGGTTTTGAAGGCAAGCCTGATTAACTTCTGTAGAACGCTCAAGGGAAGAGAACTAACCATCCACTTGCCTCCTCCTTCTGGTCAGGCTCTTCCAGGTCTAATAGGGTCAGCCAGGTGGCTGGGAAGATAGTAACCTATGGAACGCCTGTATCAGCGCCTGCTTGGACCAAGTCCCGCCTTAGTCTATTGACTTTTCAGAGCAGGTTGCTCCTTGGGGCTTTCCCTTCATCACCTACGTTTGGCCTGCTACTTGGACTCCTGCTTCCTGAACTGACCCCACAGCCTCCCAACACTGATTTCTGGTGCCTTGGAATCAATTTTATTCATGATGATTTCTACCTGATATCTTGGAATATACCTCTAGGTTTTCTGTATAAGGCATATACCATTTCTGAATAGTTTGGTGACAACAAAATCATTAGTGTTTGTGCTTCCTGCCACACAGGGTGCCAGGATGGCAGAGTAGGGAGTCCCCAAATCTCATGTTCTAACTATCCTATCAAGATAAGAAAATGCATCTTGAGTGGCAGCTTCTTCTTCTTCTTGAAATCCTGACGCTGTATATATTCACCCTGGCTGAAAACTCTGCTGAGAGAGCCCAGAGTTCACAGCTGCTGCCCTGACAGACCAACAGCCTTTAAAACAGTTGCCTTGGAAAGCAGGGATGTCCCTCTCAGCTGTGCACATGTTACCCATGGTTCACAGCGGTGTTTTGGATGAAGAGTGACATCCTGAAGGGGGAAGGGTTAGAGGACAGGTAGAGGAAAGCTCAGGGAAGCTGCACACAGTGTAGAGGACCCTTGCCACCGCCTCACCCACCCCTGACACATGCACAAGCCATTTGTGTAGTGGGGATGGGGGGTCTGTTCTCACCATGGTGGTCGTGCATCCCAGAAGCAACGGCAGCCCGGGCAATAGAGTGTGCGGAGTCTGCAGCCTCCGACGGGGAGGGATCTTTACTCAGGACGATGAGATGTGCCTGTCAGCACAGAGAGAAGAAACCCGTTGTTTACATGCTTGGCAGCAGCAATAGGGAACTGTCCTTGGAGTGATAAGCAGGAAGCCAAGGAACGTTCCAGCAAGCTAGAGGGGATGATTTATGAAGCAGTGCCATTGACTTTTGGGACTTTGAAAAGCATTGGGTGGAGGCCAGGACCCTGGATGCTGAATCCATTCGGCTAGAAACTGTCGCTGGAGCCTACCCTAAAATAAATTTGAGTGAGCAAGGACAATGACGATGGGGATGGGGAGGTGAGTTTCAAGAAGTGAAAAGTACCAGTACCAAGAGGTGCAGAGGAAGCAGGGAACCCAGCTCCTGGTCGATTGTTCAGCCTAGAATGTGGATCCTGGCCCCAGAGTTGCAGCCTGGTGTCTGATCACCAAGTCCACCCGCCTGCCATTGCGTGGAGAGCTGCTCAGTTTCTTTGTAATAAAGTTTATTTTAACATTGCTTAGTGAACCAGGTGATGGTGGCACATGCCTTTAATCCGAGCACTCAGGAGGCATAGGCAGGAGGATCTTTGTGAGTCTGAGGCCAGACTGGTCTACAGAATGAGTTCCAGGACAGGCAGGACTCAAGAGAGAAACACTGTGTCAAGAAGAAACAAAACAAAACAAAACAAAAAAACCCTGCTTAATAAAAATGGTATTCTAATAAACAAAATAATAAAATATTTTCAAGTAAAATATAAAATATAACCCTTCAAAGAAAATGTTACCAATCATCTTCCTGCCAGCATTTTAAGTTGAAAAATATTGGGGCTAGAGAGATGGCTCAGGTGTTAAGAGCACATACCGTTCTTGCAGAGGACACAAGTTTGATTCCCAGCACAGACATCAGGCAGCTCACAACTGCTTGTAACTCCAGCTCTAGGTGATCTGATATGCGTGCACGCGCGTGCGCACACACACACACACACACACACACACACACACACACACGCATGCACACACACAGGCACACGCTAATTAAAGTTAAAAAAATACTGAGTAATATGTTTACATCCCTCCATCGCTCACTTAAAGAATGCCTACAGCAGGAAGACAGGGACAGGCTGTGCACAGCCAGGGAAAACTGGGCTAAATGTGGTGAATTGATACAACACGCTCAGTAGAGATAGTAGGCAGTATGGGATTGCTGCCAGAGTGCATTTTCTTTACTTTTCTTACTGTGGCAAAATACCTGACAAAAACAACTTATTTTAGCTCAGAGTTCAACAGTGAACACAGTCTCTCATGGTGGGAAGGTGAAGTGACAGGAGTGGGAGGCCTTTGGTCACCCTGTGTTTTCTGTCATGAAGAAAGACAAAGGTTCTGGTGTTCATCAGGCTTTCTCTGTTGCCCCTCTGTTCTGCCTGGACCCTGGTGTGTGGGAGGAAGCCAACCACACTCTCCACCCCCATTACACCTCTCTGGACACCACCTCACAGATGTGTCCAGAAGTGTATCTGCTAGGTACTTCTAAATCCAGCCAAGGCAACAACGGAGATTAAACCTCCAGAGAGACAGAGAGAGGAAAATGCTAGGCTGGGCAAGCAGAATGCACCACCAAGCACAGCAGTTTAGTTCTTTCTTGTGTGTGATAGAACACTTCACTTTTGGGGATACTTTCTATGGTCTTCAATTTATATATGAAAACTAAGAGTGCTGAGAGGGTCTGGACTATTCCTCAGAGGTACACGTGTTAAAGGCTTAGTCCCCTGCTTGGTGCTACTGAGAGGCAGTGGACCCTTTAAAGGGGTGGGGCCCAGTGGGAGGTTTTAGGTCACCAGAAGCATGCTCTGAGAGGGGACTGTGGAACTCCAGGCTCTGCCTCTTTCTGTTTTTCTGGCCACCATGAAGTGAGCAACACGAACTCCAGCCTTCAAAATTGTGACCCAGATAACCTCTCTTTTTTTTTTAATGGACAGTCTCAAGTATGCATTACAATAACAGAGCACTAGCAGGGCAAGCAGTCCAGATATGTCCCGGTAGAGGATGGAGACATGCTCTGACCTTGACACTCTGACTTCAATACTGCTGGTTGTACCATCCATGTCCTGGATGCTGCTGTTCCTCTGCCAGCCATGATGTGGAACAAGGCCGACTGATGGGAGCACGCTGGAGCAGCTCTGACTTAAGCAGTGACGCTATCCCAGGAAGGCCTTATAGTCTGCATCAAGCATGACTCACGCTCTGAATGTGTCGCTGAGGTTATAGTTGAGGCAGAGGTGTGCTGTAACACGCAACAGCCTCAGGTGTTAGAACCTGAGCTGTCAGCACAAGGCTTGTGTGGTAGGGGAAAGAGCTCGGATTGACTGCCCAAGCCACCCCAGCTGGCAATGGTGGTTGCTGCTCTATTGGAACACCCAGAATTCTTAAGCATGAAGAAGGCTTAGACTTAAAACAACTTTTCTCACTTCCGGAGTTCTCCAAAAATAACTGAACGAGGGATCTGGGGAAGCCCAGAATAGTCACTAGCTTCAGTTTGGCACAAAAAAGCCCAGTCTTGAACTATGATTTGAAATACTACTGAAATAATAGGTATTTCAAAATACAGTTTCATGGACTACAAGAGCCGAAGGGTAGAGTCAAGCTATCTAATGTTCAGTGTTTGCAGGAAGAAAACAAAGAGAAAAAAAACTGTCCCCTAAAGGACCCCACGAGGGCAGACTGTGTGTCCCCTCACCTCCACCCTGGCATCCTCCTCCACAATCCTTACTGGAGAGCTCTCTGCAGGGTGCTCAGGAAGGCTTTCCTGGGCTCTTCACAGAGACTCAACACACTAATAGGTGCTGCTTCAGATGGAGGAAAACTCAAATGTAAAGATCTTCTGTTTCCTTTCTAGTCTCTATCACAACTCAAGGAGAGGCAATAAATCTGCTTATCACAATTTTTTCAGGTGAATAATTACATGTTCTGAAAAGAAAAAGAGTTGCTTTTTGACTGGACGCAGAAAAGTGACACTTTCCAGTAGTGAAACAACAGCCAAACACCCACTTACAAGAGCAAGAAACAGGTCCTAAGGGCTGAGAGCGGCAGTCCCCAACCTTCCTAATGCTGCGACCCTTTACGATGGTTTCTCACACTGTGGTGACCCCTCACCACAAAATCAGCCTCATTGTACTTCATAACTGTGATTTTGCTAGTGTTATGAGTTATAATGTAAACATACAATAGGTAGGATGTCTGAAATCCTACTAACTGTAGTTCAGCCAACGAAGGGGTCACGGCCCACATGGTGAGAACAACTGGCTAAGGGGGTCTGAACACATCACACAGTCACCCTGACCTCTGCACTTTCCTATGTGAGACACTGGCAATGTACAAGCAGGCATTGACTGTCTATCTCTGAAACTCAGCTTCTGATCTGATGCATTATTTGGTGTTCAAGAAGCTTGGTAAAAGCACATGCTGGAGGACGGGAGGAGTGCTGCCGAACACCCAGGGTGTTTAAAATGTGTCAAATTAGCATCTCACTTATTCAGGAAAATTTCATTCATTTCAGCTTAGTTTAATTTATTCCTATTTGGCTCAGTGTTATTTTAATTTTGAAGTGCTTTCCACTTGCCAGATATTGTGCTAACACCAGGAGTTCACACGCAAAAATATCAAGCTGATTTCAGCTATAAAGGAGATCACAGATGAACCACAAAATGTGGGGTGGTTGGATTTGTGTAGACATACAGACACTTCTTACTCTGTTTTTACACTCAGCTAACATCCTCTATGCATTTCAGCTGTTATAATTTTTAGGAGATATTGGAGAGAAAAGATGGCACCTGTATACAGGTTAAGCAATAGAACGTGCACGGATGTCCCACCCCAAGGCCACGGGCTTTTCTGTCTATGTTATGTTCTATGTAAATGGAAAGATGAGGGGTAGAGGAAGGTGTAGAAGCTTTCAGCCACCTCAGTGACACATAGGGAGGATCGGAGAAGCCCCTTTGTATACTCCTTCCACGGTCCAGGCCTTGGTCAGTCAGAGAACTCTTGGATCCTGAACTGCATCGGCCTCCTGGTGCAGAGCAGGACTAAGCAGCACAGGAATGGAAGGAACCCCTTAAAGCAACCGCTGCCCTGACTCGCACTGTCCTCTCTGGCTTTTGATGGCCTCATTTTCTTTATGCCAGGCTCAACTGCCCAGGGTTCTCTTTGCATACTTGATGTCAGAACTGGTCACTCAGTGCCACCTCTGGATCCTCCAGCTCACAGGAACTGTGGCTCTATTACATCTAGACAGCGTCTTGAGCTGTACTCAACTGTCCCCATATGTCCTCTCATGTGCTCCCTTCTCTTCAGAGCACAGTGTCTATTGTCTATCAGAAAGCCCTCAATTCCCCCAAGCATAATCTGAGATGGTGAAGATGGGATCCATCTAAGTATCCATTAGTAGGAAAGCAAATGTATTTTGGTTTGTTAGTACAATACTTTGTCTCTGTGGACCTATATTAACCTGGTTACATTTCAGAAACAAAGAAAAGGCAAATTGCAAAGGGATGAAGACACCATAGCATCAGTATTTTCAACCCTCTTTTCCTCAAGGACCGATTCTTATCCTGAATAAAACCATCCCTGGTTCCCTGACATCTGGGGAAGAGAGGCACTTCTCCCACTGATGCTGCTGGAATATCCTGGAGGCCAGGGCTCCCTCTTCCATCTGGCTCCTGTAGAGGATCTCCATGGGACATGAAGGACTGGTAATGAGGACTGAGGAAGCCAGCACTCGGGGCCCAGAGGACACAAAAAGTAACTGACAAGGATGGCGATTTTGCAGACCTATGGAAGCGTGGCCACAGCTTTAGAACAATGCTTCGAGGAAGTGACTCTACAACTTTGCTGCACCCTGAGCTCAGGGCAAGGAGGCAGTGAGCACAGCGACAAGCGTCCCGAGCACAGGCATTAGCCCCACCAGCAGGCACTCTGTGGCACCGTCTCGCCAGCCCCTTCACCTCAGTACTTCCTAATATCCCCAGGGCGGGGCTTTCCCCTCTTATCTCC